CCGATAAGATAATAATCTCCTTACCGAGAAGGACTTTTCTTAAACGGGCTTAATTATATATTTATTGAAGTTTGATGATTAATTAAGGATTTAATTGAAATAATCTGATATCAAATACCAAACTAGAAAAGGCGCTAACATTAAGGGATCTGATTAGAATTTTGGCGGGGATTTGATTACAAAAATGCAAGAAATTCAATGGCTGAATCAAAAGAAACCAAGTGGCGTCGTTTCCACCATGTCATCATTTGTAACAACTAGTGTTCTGTGATAATTAAGGAAGGAGATGTTGGCAGCAATAATGGAGCCGTTTTCAAATCAAGGGAGCGTATCGCGGCTGACAACCCTCAACACTGTGATGCATGCTGGCTTACCAAAAACACTCTCATCCTTTGGCTATAAAAGCCAGAAGAAGAATCAAATGCAGAGGGGGAGGCGAGATGGAAGGGAACGATGGAGGAGAGGGGAGCAGAGAGAGAGGTGACATTGAGGAGAAAATAAGAGGGCAACAAGGAGGAGGACGACAAAGAAAAAAAAAAGACAGAGAGAGAGAGGGGAATGTAAGGAAAGAAAAAACAGAGAAGAGCTGGGAAGAACAGAAGAGAACTGAAAATAAAAGGAGAAAACAGAGAGGGAAGACAACGAAACAGTGAGGAGAAAACAGAGAGAGAACAGTGTAAAAGAGAAAAGAAAACCGAGAGAGGAGAGAACAAAAGAAAACAGAATTACCCGATAAGATAATAATCTTCTTATCGAGGAGATAAGATAATAATCTCCTTACCGAGGAGGACTTTTTTTAAATCATAGATGAACCAACAACTAGAAAACATAACAAGACCTTAGATTTTATTAGACAATAAAACAATGCATCTTACCTTAGGTAGAGCGTATTTGGGGTGCTAATACCTTCCCTTTACGCAATCAGTTCTTGTACTCAATCTCTAAGACCAGTTCAATTTTTTTAATAATGAACTAGTTAAAAATTTAGTTACGTATTTTTTTCTTAAAAATATTATACTATAATGTTTCCTTACATGGTTTTTTTATGAATTTTTTTTTCAAAATGATCTTTAATGATTTTATATTTTTCATATTGAGCTGATTGAGGATTTTGCTTTATAGTTTTTTTAAAAAAAAAACACTGTAGATTATTACAATGTTTTCCCACATGATTTTTGTTTTATTAGAGTGTTTCCCCACATGTATTTTTTTAAATTATCTTTGTCGAATTATTTTTTTAATATTAAACTAGTTAAGAATTTAGTTGTAACTTTCTCCATATGTTTTTTTTCCTTTTTTTTGCCTTTTTTTTTCCAAAATTGTCTTCTTCTTTTTTCTTCTTTTTCAAAATTATTTTTGTTGATTTTATTTTTTAATATGGAATTGGTTGAGAATTTAGTTTTATAGTTTTTTTTAAACACTGTAGATTGCTATAGTATTTCCCCACATGTTTTTTTTATGATTTTTTAAAAAATTATTTTTGTCGATTTTTTTTTATATTAAGCTAGTTTGTTTTTTTCTTTAAAACATTATGTACTGCTGTAGTATTCCCTAATATAATTTTTTTGTTATTATTTTTTAAAAAATTATCTTTATTGATTTTAATATTTTTAATATTAAGCTAATTAAAAATTATATCTATAGATTTTCTAATAGAATATAATAAATTGCTCCAATGTTTCCCCGCATGATTTTTTTTTTCTTTTTTTTTGTTATGATTTTCTCTAAAAATCTCTTTTTTAATTTTTTGTAATATTAAATTAATTAAGAATTTAACTTTATAATTTTTTAAAAAAAATTATGAATTACAATAATCTTTTTTATATATTTTTTTATTTTTTTAATATATCCATAATAATACACAAGCATCCGCGGTACCACATAGGTATGGCATGTAGTGTTATCTAAACAGGCTCCTCACATCTGTTACCCGCTAATTTACTTTCCCTGCTGGTTTAGTCCACTTGTTCTAGTTTCATTTTTTCTTTTATCTTTTTTAAAAAATGATAATATGGTTAGACCAATACAAAAGCAACATGTCATCACGGTTGGGACCACGCCCAAGAGTTCTATGGATAAGGTTACTTATTTTAGTTGAATTTTTCAGAGGATATCTGAGAATGTTGTTCGATCACTTCCATGCAGATGGCTTGTGTCTCAAACTCATCCTGCCATGTGTGGAGGAAAACAGGCCCTCAGAGCCTGTTTGGTTGGAACACAGGCAAGAGAAATACTAATGATAGACCGCAACCTAAGTATCACGATGTTGATCTTCCCTTCTCAACATCTCTCGCTGACAAAACATTCTTGAGGGGTAAAATCTCTCCTTCTCCCTCCCTCTCTCTCTCTCTCGCGGAATCTCATTTTTGATAAATTAATTATGAACAGGTAAGGAGCTCAAGTGCTGCTACAAAGCCACCATTGACGGATTTAGTGCGACAAATTTCCATGATGGCTCTGACTTCAAGGGACCATGTGTGATCATAGGTTACACAAACAAGTCCTTCAAATTTGGTGCATTCAACCCTGAAGGCTATAGAAGCACAGATGATTACTATGACACGTTTGATGCATTTCTCTTCTATTGGACAGACACTGAGAAAATGGACCCCATCATCTTACCCAAAGTTGGTGGCAGCGGTGCAGCCCTCTTTGATTATGCTCGAGGTGGACCTCAGTTTGGGGCTGATGGGTTGCTAATCGGGCCTCCACTAGCACCTGTCATGGGCGGGTTTGCAGGACCTGATACCAATTCAGGAATTGGTGACTTGAGGCAAGCCAAGTCCAGACTGGGATTGTCATACGCTAAAAGAGAAGACGGCAAGGAGTCTATATTCGGTGATGAGTCCAGGGCAACTCTAGAAGAAGTCCAAGTTTTCTGCAGTCCTCAAATAGCAAGTCTATACTGAGGTATCTAGATACTGTATAAGGCTCTCTCTCTCTCTCTATATATATATAAAAAAACCCATTTTAGAGTATTCTTCCAAGTCACATAAAATCGGTTCTTTGATTACATAATCGGTGCTCAATCTCTGCAAAGCTTTACTCTTCTACAGTATAGATCATGTTTGATTAAATTAAATGGTGGTCTTCTTTTCTGCTGCAACTTGTTTTCCTAAGTGGACCTTAATGTTGGGAAAAACCAAATCTTGTGTTTGATTGGTGAGGGAAAGGGGCCGACCACACGCTCAAACAAAAGGCAAAGTATAGGTGTTCTTGAAGAAGGATTGGGAGGGGCAGGGTGGCAGAATCTATTTCAGAGAATAAATTTTGGTTCTTGTGGTGTGTAAAGAGCTTGGGGATAATAGGCCCTTTAGGAAAGCATTCTTAAAGGTTGCGTTAGTGTAGTCTCTTTGTCAAGATTCTTGCTAAAGTGAGAGGGGGGACTGTCTAAACTACCGTTGATGGATATACACATATATTTGCCATCTGCTTATCGGCACTTGCTTTTGAGTTCTCATTGCTCATCTTAATTCCAGTAATCATTAGATAATGATATATTTTGCAACTTTGGAAGGAAATATTCCTTTGACTTCCCCTCCACGCAAGTGATTGGCGATTCCTGAAAGTAATGGAAGTTCAATGTGGATGGAGAGCTTCGTATTGGGGAAACGGACGAATATTCGTCAACAAGTTTCAGCATCTATTCCTTTTAAAGATTGCTTAGACTGCAAAATTGGTTCAGTTTCTGGTTGTAGTTCAGATGGTGCGATTTAAAAGTAAACAAGACCTGCACTTGGTTTTAATTAGCTCTTCCCTTGAAGTTGATTCAGAATTGTCGCCGCATGCCATTACTAGGTCTCTTTGAAAGTTCATGTAGAGATGTCAGTTAACTCGTCACCATAACAAGAAGAGGAAAAGAAGGCTAAACTTGATCAAGAATATTGCTCTGATGGATTGGCCTTACGGGGGTGATTTCTCATGGCAAATGAGCCTTAGGACCACTTCTCTCAACATAAAATGAAGATTGTCCCGTCACATATACATAAAAGATAATAAAAAATATTTATTAAATATTTTGAATGGAAAGATTGCATGCTAATTAATCTTAGACATCCACACATACAACAACACTCTTAATGCAGGCTGAAAATCAACTCCAGTTAAGGAATTATTTCAACTTAATTACTAACATTTTAATATATAATTTATATTATTTACTAATATATCTTTTTAAATAAAAGTTCTTTAAATTTAAAATTTGTATATATTTATATTATTTTTTATTTAATTTTTATCAAATAAATAAAAATAATGAAATTTAAACTCATCATTATTTAACTATTAAAGCTTTTATATAATATTAAAAAATTATTTTAGTTTAATCATTTAAATTATTAAATAAAATTTTATTATATAATTTATATTATTTTCTAAGATACAAGGGTATAGCCCTTACACAGGAAGCTAGAATTTGTTTGGAAACGGGGAAACCTTGACACTGATTGATCAACCAGCTTGATATACAAGGCCGACCAAAAGATAAAAACGGGTTTCTTAAAGCAAATTTTTTTATGGACTGGATAATGACATGAGCATGCTTTAAATCTCTAGAGAATATTGCATTCAAAAGCTCCAAGCAAACTGACAAATTATGGAGAGTAAAGACTACAACTGTTGCATACGAAAGTTGAAGCAGAAGTGATCTCAAGTTTCCACATCATACCCCACCCTAACATAATCACATATGCTCCATTCAGATCTGCTACAAAATTTATTTGTTTGTTTTCAAACAGGGGAAGGTAAAGGTAAAGAATCCGGAAAATATTTGGTGACGAATTCAAAGGTTTCTACCACAGTAACATCTGCACACAAGGATTTCCATCAGACATGTGAGAGAGTTGCTTGTTCATCACAATTTGCATCAAATTTTGACCAGAATGGGCATCATTACTCTTAATGCATGCAAGAAAGAAATTATTATTGACTTGCACTGGCGTTCGGAAAAAGTTGGTAATAAGGGTGATTTCATTTGTGCTAGGCTGAACGTAGATTTTGAATGCTTATACAACATCAAAGCTTCTACCATGAAAGAAGCTTATTTTATTTCTTAAAGCCATAGAGTAGACAATTCAAACTGACATTAACCAACTCCTAGTGAAATCTATAAAAGTGATTACCACCGAGGGGGAGTGCAGCCTTACTAAATAAACAGGAACTGAAATAACATTTAACTACTAAGTAAGATAACATAACCAAACACAGGTCATAGGAAAGGGATTTATTCTTTATTTCCCTCCCAAGAACAAACATTAAAAGGCGTTGTCTTGGAGACCCCCCTTCTTGATTGTTTTGCTCGAGGTACACCCATAGATCACAATCACCATGTTGTCTTCCTGCGACCAAAGACCGCCTTATTCCCCCAAACTCCCATCTCCACTTGCATGCCTGCAAATTGGAGCTTGGTTCCAATGCTCTGATCCTGCATTGAAATAACAGCTACAATGATCTCTCCTTTCTTTTTTCAAAGGGCCGTGCATATCTTAGTGAACTGATCAGGTCAATAACCTTGATAGTGCGTGTCATCATTCCCACCAAAACCCATGTAGTTTCCATGTTCTGAGTAAGGTGACATGAACCCCATGTGACTGAGATCATCGGCATGCTCAATTTCTCCTGTAAAATTCGAGTATGATGAACCCGGCGAGAATTCTCCGTGTGTGTCTGGCTGCCAAGTATTCATGGAGATTGGATAGTCGTACTGTGGAAAGTATTGAGATGCAGCTTCATGTACTTGCGGATAGTCCTGAAACAGGACCATAGAAAAGATTAAAAAATCTTCATTATATAGAAATGTAGTCTATTAATTACGTTTTACCTAAGCTATACCTTTGAGGAATCAAGAATTAGTTCGGGTGAGATCCAATGGCTTGGAGGATTGCTTTCCAATGAAGCAGCTGGCTCAAGTTCTGACACTGTTGTGACTTGATAAGGAGACGCAATAGGAGTTGAAAATTGATTCCCATTGTTATACAGGTAACTTGCTTGAGAAGACATGCCATATGAGATGTTCGAAGGCTCGTTCGAGACTACATCAGAGGTGAAATCCACATTGCTCGAACTACTTCCGACCCTTTTGGCTTTAGGCTCACCTTGTGGGTCACTCATCTTCAAACCTTGCTCATTCTTTTTAACAACACGGCACAAAGCAAAAGCTCCCTGGAGAAATAAAGTAACCAGATATTTTCTCAGTCTTCTAAACAATTCAAATATAGGTTCAACAGGCATTGAACTTAAATGTGTACCTTAAAATTGGGTGATCCTTGAGAAAGATCATCGCAGAGGCGATACTCATGCATTACCCAGTCCGTCCTGTCTCCTGAAGGAGCCCGTCCGCGATAGAAAACGAGAGTCTTTCTATACCCAGTCACGGCAGATTGACAGACAACTTTCCGGTCTTTGCCGGTAGCCTTCCAGTAGCCAGCTTGAGTGGCTCTATTTGTTCTCGAACCATTTGGATACTTACGATCCCTGGGACAGAAGAAGAACCATTCCATATCTCGTTTCGGCAGGAATGACTTCTCTGCGTATCACATATTGAAATTAAGTTAGATTTCCAAGTTGTTAGAACAATGTGATCAACAGGAAAAGAGTGATATGAAAATTAAAGGGCGGAACTGTTTCTTGTAATGCTTTCCTTTGAATAAACTGTTACTGAAAAATGAAAGTTTCCGGCCGAACCGGACTTTGCAAGAAAAAAGTTGTTGAAGGCTCCACCGATAAAAGTATTCTTGTGATCAGATTAATCAAAAAAACAAAAAAGATATCAAGCATAAAGAAAACAAAACAAAAAAGTGCTTTTCCAATACTAAAAAATATCTGTGTTCAGACTTCAGACAGCAATACTGAAGCTTCTTTCGAACCATAACAATTTAAATCTAAAGCAACAACGTATGAATTCATTGAGCTTAGGTCATAACTTGCCCACGAAAAACCAATCCATATCCCAAAGATATCTAAAAGGCAAGTAGCGTTGCATGCGTCATCTTTACCTCTCTCAAACCAAGGGGCATTGACTATTCACATTCTCATGCCAATCATTTCTTGGATAGGAATAAGGAAACTTTGACGAAGCATTACAAATCATCGATAACAATTTTTCTCTTTACATCTTATAAACATAACAGTAGATGGGCTAGAAGAAAAGTTACCTGGCAACTCCCATGGATCGAATTTGTACAAATCGATCACGGGGATCACTTCAAGCTCAATTTCAAGCCCTAGAACTTTCCTATGCAGGTAATACCCGACCAATTCCTCATCAGTTGGATGAAAACGAAATCCCGGTGGCAATGAAGCCCCTCCCATTATCTCAATCTACCTAGAGTTAAAAAGAAATGAACAGGAAAAAAAAAAAACAGAGTAAACAGAATAGAGTGAGGAAGGTTTCTTGCTAAGTCCCCAGACTGTATCTATTAAAGATTTGAAAAATCCAAAAATAAAAGCTCTTATCAACACTAGATCTTTTACCAAGAATCAAGCACAACTTCCACAGGTTGTACCCATTGTAGAACTGAATCATTTTCCTTTGAAACTCGACTTTCTTATGATTGAAGTATTAAACCCCCACTAACCCCCTCAGAATTTGGTCACAAGATGAAGTTTGAAATGAATCTAAAAACTTATTTTAACCTATACCCAGAAGCCAGAAATTTGCCTTTAATGCAAATTTAGATAGTGAATTCAACAAGAAAAAAAAAAGACTTGGTCTAAAAACTAGTTAGAACTTCCAAAACCAGAACCTATTGCAATGACTAGAAGCCAGGACCATTCAAGAACCTCTCAAAAACTGCAAATCTCGAATGGTATGGACTCAAAAGCTTTTTATGTGGCCTTCAAAAAGAGAGATTGACAAAAGAAAGGAGTAGATTGTGTGTGTGTGTGTGTGTGTGTGATTAAAGAAGAGAGAAGGCGAGGCTTGGTAGAGTAACAATGGAATTGTAATGTGTGTGTTTATATAATATAGGATTGGAGGAGGCAGCAAAGTCCAAATTTTTGCACACCGAAAGTGGAGAGGTTGCTTGTCTAGAGCGTGCCCAAAATTCCACAGAATGGGACCTACGTTACAACTTCAGTTCACACCTTACAGTTCTCTTTCCTTCCCGCCAATATAATTCGTGACCGTTACTTTTAATTAATTTTAATTGTTCTTTAGCTTTAATTCTTTTAATAATTCAATGATTCAAGCGGTTATCAATTTATGATGAATTAAAAACATATATAAAAAATATTGTTCTATATTAAAAAATATTATCTTCTTCTTCTTCTTCGAAGGAACTGGTGGGTTGAACATCCCTATACATGCCTCTTACTACAAGATTATTTACAGGTTTAAAATAATTCCAATAATTATAACATTGGATTTGTTCTCTTGCTACAAGATAATGAAGTTTATCAAACTTTTAGTTCCGAATTAAATAAAATTAAAAATAAACGACTACAAGATTGTCAATTTACAACATTCAAACAACTTGGTTACAAAATACATGTCAATGCAAGGGATCTTGGATTCAACTGCAGAAAAAAAACAAAACCTCTCTTCCTGTCACCACTCTGTTCTTGCTGAGGAAAAACACTTGTAGATTCACAGGAACACAAATTTGACGGGAGATGAGAGCTCTAATCTTTCAATAGATTCTGCTAAACCTACGCCCATTTCGGGTGTTCGTAGAGAGCATTGAACTCGCTTTAAGGATGCCACTGTGGAGTGGTCAAGCTGTCATTGATGGGAGAATTTGGGTTTTCTTCGTCGCCCAACCTCCTCCCGCGTCATTCTGAGTCAGACAAAACACTTTTCTTATCTTTTTGGAACTGATTGAGTCATCAAACTGGGTCCCTTGTTCTAAAAGAGTGTCCTAAAAGTGCTTCCTTAGTTTTTTAACAGGGATGACAACGGTATGTAATAATGTATAGGTTGTTTTCTATTTCCTTTCTTGTTTTTTAATATATATATATATATATATATATTCAATTCTGTAAAAGAGAATGAACACAATCCTTAGCCACCACAAAACTAAAAATATTTTAAAAAAAACATTTGATTACTATCACTCTATTATTCTATTTAATCTATAATTTTTTAAAAAACTTATTTTTAACATCAGCATATTAAAAAAATCTAAAAATATATAAAAATAATATAAAATTTAAAAATCTTTAAAAATATTATTGGACCACAGTATCAAACACCAAGTAAAACCTAAAATGCTTTTGGCTATGCTTATACTTGTGTGTGTTATCAACTTGGTGATGATTGGATGGCGACTTGAAATACATTTCACACAAAATAGTAGCTAACGGGGCCATCAGGCTTTTTACATTAGGAAAATGGAAGGAAATGATCAAAAGTTTAACCTTCAATCCTTATAATATATCGGATAGGGTTCTTATTGCCAAACTTTAGAAAGGAAATTACATGTCATGAAAATCCATTTCTTTTCCCATGGGAAAGCGGCAAGCAGGGAGAGCCGATATGCTGACTCATGGATTTACGAATGGATTGCTTGCCTGGATTTCCACCTATATATATATATATATATATATAGTCGGCTAGGTGTATGATTTAGCAAGCAATATAAACTCTGCAAATTCGGATAAGCAAAGCCCTTTTGGGGGTCTAAACGCAAGACTTGAATTATAATATTTTAAGTTATTGTTTCACTCCTCTTTGATCGTCGGAAATTGTTTTTGCAAGCTATGTGGATGTTTTGGTCAACCTGACTCCATGTGACCTTTGAGTTGAAGCTTCAATGCAGTAGGGTTTTAATTTAAGGGGAAGCAGCAGCAGCAATCTTCATCTTAGAGTGTATTTGGTATTTAGCTATTATAGTTATGATTTAAAAAAAATTATTTTATAAAAATTATTTTTAGTAGAAATTGATTTGAAAAAATAAATGTTTGGTTAAAAATATAATTAAAATTAAGGTGAAAAAAAAAGTAATTTTAATATATTTGATTAAGAATGCTTTTCAAATTAAGGTTATAAAATAATTTTAAAAAATATATATTAATAGTAATAATTTTTAATTTAAATATTTTGGATTTAACTATTGCTATGATGTATATCGTGAAATAAATTACACTTTATATAAAAAAAAATTACTTTAACAAAAAACTATCTACAATCCTATTACGTATAAAATTCATCTGATAAGAACTATAAAATTAAATAAAATATTATTAAGAATAAAATTAAGATTACAATACGAGTAAATTTAATTCACTTTAAACTGATTTAAAAAAAAAAATATTGTTCACATTCACATAAACAATGTGAATGAAATCAATTATTTACACTAGTTTTTTGAAAGAAAGAAAAAACTGTTCACATGCATGCCTCCACTGTTTATTGTTCACTGGATGCATGCATCCACTATTTTTTAAAAAAAAAAAAGAAAAGAAAAATATTCCGTAAACAATTGATGTATGCTCCACTATTTACTGAACAGTAGAGCACAAATTAAGATTTTGACCGCGTAGGAAGCAACTTTTTTTTTTCTTGCGTTTCAAACGTAGCAAACTGTGGAACCCGTGAACAATAACATGCATTTGTTAATTAACCAAACAACTTGTTGCATGATATTGCAGGAAACATGGACGCTACCACGTTGCCAAACGATTTCTTAGACATTCCAAGGAGTACGAAAACTATATAAGAAGTACCATGTTTAAGTTGAGAATCCAAAGGCAAGTTCTTGGATCCCTTTTTTATTTATTTATTTGAGGAAATCCTATTTTTAAAAAAGTATATTTTATAGACCTAGATAAATAAATAAAACTCTAATTATCTAGGTTTTTATAAAAAATACACCTTTTTAATTCAAACTCAAAATTTATTGTACAAATTTAAAGTTTTTTATTATCATGCTATATTTTTTGGGAACTTGGATCCCTCTTTCCTTCCTTCTTTTTTGGCTAGGAGTTTAACAACGTTTCTTTCTATCCTGTTTTTCAAAGATGTAACTTGTTTAATCTGGAAATATTGGAAATTTGAAGAAATTTTTTTATTCTTGTTTTTCAAAGATGTAACTTGTTTAATCTGGAAATATTGGAAATTTGAAGAAATTTTTTTATGTTGTTGTAGTTTTTATTTTTTAAAATATATTTTGAATTATTTTTTATCTTAAAAAATATTAAATAATTTTTTAAAATATTTTTTTATAATTTTAATATATTAATATAAAAAAATTATTATTTTAATATATTTTTAATAAAAAAATATTTTTAAAAATCACCATATAATGCAATAGCAAATACACACAAATACATGCAGTACTTGCTAAATTTTGCTGACTGAAATTAAACCAAAAGTCATCTTTATTTTTTTTCCCTTAAATTCTCTCAATTAAATTTAAAATTTTCAATTACCGCCCATCTCAAACATGCTATATTAAGAGTGTGTTTGAAGTTGCAAGTAAGGTTTTAGCCTAGCGGTGAGAGAGGCTTGTCCTCTTTCTCCGCACCTGGGTTCGAGCCTTACCATGTACGCTTGTTACCCTCGTGGTACCTTACCTACTCGTTGGGCTTGCAGGATATTCAGTAGGCCGTGGAGATTAGTCGTGGTACGCATAAGCTGACCTGAACACCCCACGTAAATCAAAAAAAAAGAAGAAAAAAGAATGTGTTTGAAGATGTTTTAATTTTTTTTTTATTTTAAATTAAATTTTTTATTATAATTTTAGATTGTTTCGATATAAAGATGCTATGAATAAATTTAAAACATTTTAAAAATATTTTTTTATATATTTTTAAAAAATATCTTAAAAACGAAAACCACCGCTATCACATTATCAATTAAATTGACTGTTTTTTCACTTTCCGATTGAATGAATTTGCCCCGAAATCTCAAAGTGGTGAGATACAAAAAGAAAACTGACCCACAGAGGGGACTCCAAAGTCTCATTTGATGAGGTGGTTTGCAATACAGCCCCATAAAATCAAAGGTGAAATGAAATGCACATACAAAAGTCCAGTGAAGGATCGATCATGGAAGAAATACGAGGGCACATAGCTCTTTCTTTCCTTTGTGGGGGAGGGGCGGGGGGGCGCGCGCAGGGCTGGAAAATGAGAACCGCCTTGTCCCCTTTGTCTTGTGCTTTCGGTCCCTTGGCGCCTTGGACCATGGTTAGCACCGCCCGCCCGCCCCCTGTCGTCAACAGTTGAGGAAGTCTGTGACCTTTGAATAGCCAGCGGACAAGGACACCAATTTATATTGCCTCTTCAAAATTATGAGGAAGGAAGTAGAAATAAGAAAAATATTCGTTATTTATTTCATGGTAAACAGGACCAAAATTAACCAAAAAAAATATGGAGATTCACAAAAACAAATTACAAAATTATTTGAACAAATAAATCACATATGAAGATTCAAAATTAACCTTTGTGACAGTCAGTTGGAAATGGACCAAAGAGGTCGTAACGGTAAAAGTAATGGATGGAAAACAATCCAGTACTAGAGGCCGTTTGTTTGCTTAGTTGTTCTGTATTTGAAGCAACTACAACGGAATAAATATTTAATTATGTAAAAAATATAATTTTTTTTAATGGACTCATAATAATTTATGTTTACAACATGATTTTGGCAAAACAATTCCTGGCTGTTTTTTTTTCAAATTGTGTTTTATTGAATGGTGCAATTTATATTGTACTATTCGGGTGAATTTTTTTTCAATATATTTTTTTTAAAAAAACTAGTTTAAAGTAAATTAAATTCACTTGCATTATCATAAAATAATATTTTTTTAAAAAAAACTAGTATATAATGAATTAAATTCACTCGCACTTTAATATCAAATCAATTTTATTTTTGATAATATTTTATCTAAATTTATTACACCCTCAAAAAATTATGAAAATTATAGTTCTTATCGGATAAATTTTATATGTAATAGAATTATAAATGGTTTAATAAAGTAATAAAAATATTTTATATAAAGAATTATTTATTTAATGATGT